CGTTCGCTTGACAAGCTTGTAGCGGCAATTTCCCAGAGGTCGATGCATTGTGGCTCCAACATGTAGTGTGCTGGAGACTGGTTTTGGGCATTTGTGGTGGTTTTGTCTCGTAAGCCTTGGGTGCGGGCAAGCAGCCAAAGCTTCGCAGCGGCATTGGTGCAGTTGCGCGACCAGCTGACGCTGCGACATTGTTCCCTGAAGCCTCCGATCATGTTGGTGAGTTGTGCGAAGAAGCTTGCATGCCGTGGCAGCACTTGTGCGCTCATCGTGCCGTGGCGTTCCTAAGGCCACCTCTGGCGGACGTGATGTCGTCAGCAATATCGTCAACCATTTTTCCGGACTTCTCGTCCAATTAACTGCTGACTGTGGATGTGTGTCACGTCAGATCGAGCTTGACTTGGATTTGCCGTGTCGCTGGCTGTAGCCGCTGCTGCACCCTTGCCCTGATGCATCGGCATGCTACCGTCAGGAGATCGTCAAAGTGCTTTCAGGGGCTCCACAAGTGCAACCTGCTCCGCGAGAGGCCAGGCTCGATGCTTCAAATTTGACAAGGAGCCGTGGAGCCACGCAGTTTCCGAGCTCAAGCATATATGGTCCAGGCAAGTCCACCTGACCGACTGTGCTTGGGTTCAATTTGCTTCATCGTCTGCTTCTGCTGGGCGAGAAGCACATTGGTTTCAGCATCCTCGCATTCGGTTTCCGATTCCGCCTGAGTGAGCCCGGGAGAACGTTGGCTCGGATACCTTTCAGATCAGGTGACTGAGGCCGGGGGTTCGCGGACATGCGCCGTGGCAGCACTTTTGCGCTCATCGCGTGCAGTGGTCTGAGGGCTGTTCGGACGTGATGTCGTCAGCAATACCGTCAACCATTTTTCCAGACTTATCGTCCAACTAACTGCTGACTGTGGATGTGTGTCACGTCAGATCGAGCTTGACTTGGATTTGCCGTGTTGCTGGCTGTAGCCGCTGCTGCACCCTTGCCCTGATGCATCGGCATGCTACCGTCAGGAGATCGTCAAAATGCTTTCAGGGGCTCCGCAAGTGCCACCTGCTCCGCGAGAGGCCAGGCTCGATGCTTCAAGTTTGACAAGGAGCCGTGGAGCCACGCAGTTTCCGAGCTCAAGCATAAGGTCCAGGCAAGTCCACCTGACCGACTGTGGCTAGGATACCTTTCAGATCAGGTGGCTGAGGCCGGGGGTTCGCGGACATACGACGTGGCAGCACTTGTGCGCTCATCGTGCAGTGGTCTGAGGGCTGTTCGGACATGATGTCGTCAGCAATACCGTCAACCATTTTTCCAGACTTATCGTCCAACTAACTGCTGACAGTGGATGGTGTGTCTGCACAGCTTTCTGTGTTTACGAGTTTGGGAAAATTGCCCGAGCGACTCTATCCAGGTCACCAGTTCAGATATGTATATAAGTGGAAAAACGAGTATCCCCCAGTCTGCGCTGCTGGCGGACAATCGCAAACTTCTTTTCTGGCATGATCACGGACGGAAGGAGAAGCGACACCCAGCCCAGGGAGCTTTTCCGGGGGTTCGCTTCCTTCCGGGCACCTGCGAGGCCACCGCGGCTCTGAAGCGGCCGAACCATAAGCTTTATGCTCTTCCGTGGGTCAGCCGCCACGTGGGTTCTTCTGGTGATCTTGATGGTCGGGAATCACGTCCAAGAGTTTGTAGACGCCCCATTGGCGGGCAATGGCCATGTTGGGAGGCAGGGCAAGTTTGCAAGGTCGTTCGGAAAGCCGACGCATGGGGCAGCGCATAGCTCTAAATGTGAACTTGTCTTAATGGCTGACATGGGGGGGGTTAAAGTTGGACCTCCCTCTTTGCATTCTCGATCGTGTCTTGTTCTGTCACAGACTGACTCTGGCTGCGGCAGCAATACCAAAGTGCTCAGTCAGAGCCGGCTCCAGCTTCTAGAAGACGCCGCGATGACTGCCAACATACCTTCAAAGCTCATGGTTCCGGCGCGGCCGGTGCTCTTCGCACCGCGCATATTCGGGCCCAAGATCTGTGCTCATGTCGTCCTGCTGGGCACCTTCTGGTAACCGAAGTGTTGCAGCCCAGTGAAGCCTTGCATCGAAGAACGTCCTTGTCAGCTGCGTAGTGGCAGCGTATTGGTCTCAGCAGCCTGGTGCTGCGCCGCATCTTCCCACAGAGGCAGGGTACCGACTGTAAAGTGTGTAAAGTAAAGGCTGCGCAGCTTGAGGTTCATCGGTTGCTTGTACACGACCGTGTAATACATCGTGCTTACAGATATGTATGCACATTCACCTGAATGAACGTGCGTGAAGACAATGACAAAATTCGCTTAGTCCCTTTCGTATTGACGTTGTAGTTGTATGAAGCGCAAGCTGCTCGTAGTCTCGTGGCGACCTGACCCGTTCCAGCAGGCATGGTTTGCCTTCTTTCGAGCTCTATGGCTTTGAGCAGTGACCTCGACGTCATTTTCCTAACTTCCACACGCAGACGAAGCAAACTTGGCCTAGCAACCGAAACAAAAAGCAAAACTGCATGCCTTGCGACGATCATGGACTGTTCTTTGGCCTCCAAATGGCTGGCTGTAATGTACCGTCCACACAATATCTATCGGATCAGTCCGGCTGTGGTATTGGATCCTGACTGCTGCAGGCCTGGGACATCTTCCGCGACCTTGACTGGCTGTGAGAGCTCGGTAGAATCCGGTAGAAGTGATCATCAGAGCTGGTTTTCAGCCCAAGGCGGCGCGGTTGTGAGCAAAGGACACAAGTCACAAAGTCCGTTCTCCCCTTCTCTCCCCTTGCCTCCGTGTGTATGTGTATCCGTTTGTGTATGACTGTATGAGTGAATATGTTCTGTGAGTGTATCCACACTTCGAAAAGTATCCTAGGCATGCGACACTGACGCGATAAGCCCGATAAACCCTGAACAGCCGGGAAGCCCGCTAAACCCAGATAACCATGACACGACCCCTAGCCGGATGTTTGAGGAGTCATGCATGCTCCCGATCAGCCCCGTGGTTGAAAGAGAGTCCTTTTGTGAAATTTCGGTGCTCCCTGTCCATTCTCGCATGCGATAACCCGAAGTTTTCATGATGTGGTTGCGCAGGGGTTCTGCATGATAGCCCTATCAAAGAAGGTTTGGGGTTCCGTCGGTAGGATTTAGGGGTTGTTATGGGACTGGCAGACTGTCGGCAAGAGTTTGTTCCGTGGCTGTGAAATTTGTCGAGGTAGAGTCACGGACCCGAAGGAAGCATAGCTTCTGCAGCTATAGTGCCCAGCCCTTGCTAAGGAACACGACTCTTTCAGCAAGCCGATGTATTCGTGGAGCCCTTCTTTGCCTAAACGATTATGTATGTTCATGTCTGCATCACCACAAACTCAAACTGTCCGACTCTGACATTTTGAATGCCTCACCCGCCCGAAGACTATCTCCATTGGCACAGGGTCGAGTGGAATCAAGCCTGCATTTGACCAAACCCTAACCACCTGGTATCACACAGATCCTGGAAATCTTATCTGTACCCAGGCCTTACCAACTTTGAACGACGAGCCCCCTCGCCACCTGCAAGCCCGAAGCAAGACTTCAAAGTTGGGGTCTGAGATAAAGCGTCTACAGGATGCCTCTGCCCATGGGCATGTTGAGAAGTACTGTAATCGGTTCGTAACTCGTAATTCGAGATAACTAGGGTTACTGAACCGACGAAGACCCCTTGATCCTTGCAAACAATATCGACATAGGACATTGTACCCTGTTTTGGCTCGGTTGAAGCGTGTTCGCGTTTTTGCACTGTGCGGGCTGCGGACGCCTTCTCCACCAGGGGCGCCGGGTCCTCGTCTTCCGGCTCTCTCGCTCTCTCTTTCTCTCTCTCTCTCTCTCTCTCTCTCTCTCTCTCTTTGCCCCCTCGCTTGTTAAGGTCGTTAGGTTGTTTAGGGCGTTTTGGGCTTAGTTGTTTTGGATCAGGGGCTTTGCATTCTCAAAGGCGGCTAAGGCAACCGTTTCAGATCTAGGACTACGCACCAACCCGCCCTCACTTCGAACTCCTGCGCAGAAAACTTAACCCAAAGGGATCAGAGACTTACTAATTAGGTCTTTATCGGGCTACAAGATATTATAGGCTCGGTAGCTAGCTATGGCTATGGCTCTAGTTAAAATCATGACAACCTTACAATCAAGACCTGTGAACTTGCAGGATCAGGCAAGCTAGGTTTTAAGGAGACAAGTGATGTAGCATCGCAGTTTTAGTATACATAAAACAACCAATGAACACTTCCTGTGCAGCGCTTTAGAGAGGCCCGAAAAGCGTACTTGTTTGTCTTGTTTGTTGTAAAATGCAGTCTCCTTTCGTTCCTTCGACCAGCACGAAAGCCCTCTAATTCTGAAGCATTTTCTGCAGAAGTCGCCGAGGTCGGCCTGTGCCAAGCCATGGCCCGAACCTCGACCAGAGGGGAGAACTGCAAGAGATTTGGTTTTCTGGCCGACCCTCTGACTAAGAAAATGCAGTTGACTGAGTTCTTCAGCACTGCTTACGAAGGTGAAGAAGCTCCGCAAGAGAGAAAACAGAAAGCGCGGACGCCAGCAATGAGTTTCACTTGGACGGGTAACGTGATGCGGCTTTCGCCAACTTCACAAGACCGGGATTCGGTTACGATTGCATGTGTGCCAATTCGATTCGGCAAGGCTTCAGCATTCGGACATTGTAGGTAGTCGATTGTCTTTGCGCATCTAGAGTCGTGCACAACCCGTTAGGTCTGTGAGCATGCCTCGGCAAGCGGTGCAATCAGGGCAATCACTACTAAGAGAAGAATGCTGCAGGTGTGTTGCGATTCCCCATCTCCCAGGCCCTAAGCCTTGACCTCATGAAGCTCTCCTCCCACTATTTGGCCTCCGTGCTCACATACCAGGCATGAATTTCCACATGCCCAGTTTGCCTGAACCTGGATCTGAGAACCTGCGCCCCCAAGGCTCGCCATTGTGCAGCAGGAGAAGATCAAAAAGAGGCCACAAAAGGGCTGAATGTGAATGTTGTAGCAAGCTAAAAAACTATCGCTTGGTTTGCGTGTTTTCGGTGTAAGCTTATTCGAACGTGTGTGGCAGCGTGCACGGGTCCTTGGCCACCTTGCCCGGCCCACCACATCCCGCAAAGCGGCATTGTTGCTCGTGGCATGTGCATTCAACAGAGGATCTGAGTTCGTGGACCCCACCCCTTACTCCAATGCCGTATATATCCAGGAACAGATCAATCTTCGAAAATACTCCTGATGCTATGGAACACATGCATGCATGCATGCATGCATGCATGCATGCATGCGTGCACGCGAGCATGCATGTCGACGTCGGTATATGGACAGACACATGCATACATACATACATACATACATACATACATACATACATACATACATACACACATACACACATACACACATACATACTTAATTTCTTCTATGTACTTACATGCATATGCATACTTACATACATACGTACATACATGGACATCTTCATACATGTTGATGTTGGGAGTCTCCATAGCACAACCCCACTGTGCAGGTTGCGGGACAAGCGGGAGGAGCATGGTCTGTCCGCACCATCAGCCGGGCCCCAATGAAGTCCGTCATAGGAGCTTAGATGTCTGCAATGTCAGTACGCACATGGCCTACATTCCACAAATCCGCCAACACTGAGTCGACAGGCCGCGCCAGTGAAGCATCTTTTCCGCCTGTTCCGGCATTGTCGTTCATGTCTCCTGGATGAATGGTTTTTACAGAGTCGAGAACTTTCTGTCAAGGCCGGGCAGAGCTTCGCACACATCAAGAACAAGCTCGGCACTGAGCTTGCCAGAGATACATTTCCTTGAGCCAGTCTATTCATTTTGCGCTCATACTTCGTCCTCTGCTCACCGTTCTCAGTTTCGTATTTAAGTTGAGAATATTAGTCGTTGTTGTCGTTGCTCGTGTTCCTGTCCACCGTCTTGCCTCTACATACACAACGCTGTCACGATGCCCGTCTTCTTGGCTGCCATGCCCTTAGTGTGCCATCTCATGCCTTCTGCCACGCTTATGTTTCTCTTGTGCTCGCTCATGTATGATAAGTATGTGGTAGTCGGTTTTTCCCCAGACGAGTGGGTACGTTGCTGCAGGGTGTTGCATCTAGTGCAGTCCAATGTTTCTATTCAGGCACCTGCGAGGGTGTTCCTTCCAAAGCTGATTTCCTCCAAAGCGACTATATGGTAGTTGGAGAATTCGCTCATGGACTGCTGAATCGGTACTTCTATAGGAGTGCCCGACGAATGGCGTTCGAAGACAGCAGGCTGAGGTCAAGTCAAGGTAGTCTCGAGGCCTTTAGTCGTTGGATGTCGTTAGACTAGTGTTTCGGGCACTATATTACTAGATGGGCAGTACACAGGCATAGTGATTGCTACTTTTCCTCGCCAATTACAGGCACCAGAGTCGTTTGTCACGGCATGTACAAGCTCAAACAAGAACAGCAGGCGACCGACAGCTGACATCCTGCCTGCTGAACCCAAAATGACCAACTGCTTACCATAAAGCCTAAACCTCCGAATTACCTTAGACGTTCAACACATCGCAGCCAATGTTTAAGGCAGAAGCGATCTCAGATGGTCTCCCTGATGAGACAGGACTGCTTGCGAGTCACAAGAGGTCTACGGGTCATTGGAATTTGACTTGCGCGACACACCTCCAGCAAAACAATTGCCAGCGATTCATCGACATGTGCCACTACAGCTGTATGGCTTGTGGCAAAACAGCCAATAGACTTGATTGGGTAGCTAACATAGTACAGGCATGGTCGTGTTTGCGCTCTGCCCTTGGTTGTGGAAAATCAAACTCTGCACGGATGCCAGATCATCGTCGCAGCAGCCGTTCTGTGAAGAGGAATCATGTATTCGATGCTTGCTTTGAAGGCAGTAGGAAGCAAGGCAGTATCTGCATGATCCGTAAGCCTAGCACATCCGAAGCCGGAGCAGCTGCAAAAGGAAGTCCGGTGCTACGCAGTTGAATTATAGGGAAAGACAGCATGCATTTTTGCAACGGCAACGGTTGACGCG